TCCGGGAGAATACGGTAGTCCTAGTCTAGCCATGTACTATAAGTGGAACATTCCCTTATTATAACTGTTTTACAAGCATTTCTACAGTGACTCTGACTGTTGTACTGCCTTTCTTGTCACCGAGTCCCTGCATGTAACCTGTGCTGGAAACAATCGGTCCTAAGCGCCTCTGTCGTGCCGAAACACTAAGGCACAAGCGAAGCGAAGCATACCGAAGCACCGGCGAGTCAACCCTCGGAGGTTGAAGCAACCGCTGGAGGTTACTCGAAAGTCAAAGGTCAGCGACCTTTGACCTGACAAGTACAGCGCGACAGCAAGGACACACAACTGACTCGCTACAGAGCAGTTGCCCGAGTCGTCACTGTATCGAACCGCAACAGCAACAATAAAAGTAGTTACAACCGTATCTCTTCGCATTCCTTGTACTCTAATATATTCTTGTATCTCTTTGCTTCAATCAACTTACTTTGCCCTCATATACTAGCGCAAGGTGGTTCAGAATCTCTTTGTTAACTCTTCCGCTACTACATCATTCTACCCAGAGATTAACCCTACCAAAGATCCTAAGGGGCACTCAGCCCAACATGGTATGAGAGCAGGTTAGGGTTAAGATTCTATTTCCCCTTAAATCACACCAAGAGACATGTCTACCAGAAAGGAGAGGAGCTCCTCCAACGGCTCTCCTCGTACTACTCGTACTCCACCTCCTGCCTCTGGCCTACAGACAGAGGAAGGCACAACAACGAGACCGGCCGCTGGGTCTACTGAAACACCCGCAAACCAAGGCGCGGGCTTCGATCCAAGCATGATGGAGAAATTCTTCTCCTTCATGTCCTTCTACGAGCAGCATCAGCAAGGAGTACCTGCGCAATCAAACAACAGCAACAACAACAACAACGTGACACCCATGAGTCTTGATGGCTCATCCTACGCACGCAGGAATCAACAACAACAACCTACCTTCGCTCCGTACAAGCCCCAGCGAGGCTCCGTCAGCTTCATGCCACAACCACAACCTGCACCGGGACAAGAAAGAACATTGGACGCACTACAAGTTCAGTCGCAGTTCGCGCACGTTCTAAAACTACAAACGACAAAACCCTTCGACGGGAAGGATTTCTTCACCTGGTCGTTCGAATTCGAGCTGATGATGGAAGGAGCGCAAATCCTTGGCTTCTTCGACGGGTCCCTGTCGAGAGACTAAGTAATTAACAGTAGAAAGGTGGGGCCTAGGCTTAGTAGCCTAGGCCCGAACTTAGGTATCGAGTGGGTTTCCCTAGGCGAGATGTCGAGTGAGTTGGAGGAGAGAAATTGGAGAATGGAATTCACCATAGGTTTCAAGAAACATATAGCATAGGAAACAAAGTTGGTGCACCACCTTCAAAGTACAATAACTACACTACAACTACAAGCAGTTACAAAATATGACGAACATATTTCGACAGTCCCTGCCATACCCAACAAACGGCACACAATATGAGAAGCAGCAGTACACCTATCAATCGATGATGGCGTACACGATACTACTGAGGAACATCACCCCGACTCAACAGCAGAACATAAGGACTTACCGAGGTTATGGCAACTCCGCGGAGCTCGCGTACAACCACTTGAAGAACCTGTATCAACCAACAGACAGCGTAAACCAAAGTCGGTTAATGGCGCAGCTGACAACTGTCAGAATGTTATGTTATCTAGCCTGCAGTGGGGTGCTCCATAGCGAGTACAACCCAGTTAGGGTTTGCTATTTGTATCCAACGGCTTGCTAGTGAACCTCCTCTTTCTTCATTCTTACTTTCTACTGCTGATTCTGACAACAACAATCGAAATGAAACCAGGCGAGAAGGGAATGGCGTATATCAGTCGCTGCCGCGAGCTGCGTGACAGGCTTCTTCGATGTGGAGGATCGATTTCAGAAGACGCCTTCGTCACGGTTGTCATCGGCGGTCTTGGTCCTCACTGGCGCTCCATTCGCGCCATACTACGAGCACACGGGAGAATCTCCGAAGCAGCACTCTGCGCCGAAATCTATGATGAGCAGCAAGACATGGACCTGCAACAAGAACGACACAAGAGAAAGGTATCAGTACCCAAATTCGCGTTTCACACTCAACGACGCCACAACAACAACAACAGTCGACCGAAAATCGTACCTCCGTTCTGCCACCTCTGCAAGACTTCAGGGCATCCTCGTACGCACTGCCCGAATCGACAACAGTCAACAACGCCGCAACGCCAACTTCGCCCTTCAAGCAGTCAAGTCGCCTCAACGCAAGCAAATCCGACAACTTCGGTACAAGTCTCAACAACATCGACGGGACAACCTGCGAAAGAAACAAGAAACATCATCAGCTGCATGGCAAAACTGAGCGACTCCTGCGTAACTGAGTCACCACCATATTACTCACCGGAAGAACAACTCGACAACAGCACGCCTCGCCGCGAGTCACTTCAACCGAACCCGACGTACGCCGCCATCGCTCAAAGCGAACCGTCCGGGAAAGACACATGGTTCTTGGACAGTTGCTGCGGACAGCACATGTGCTCCTCGGGACGCTTCGTCCAACGCGAGCACCGACTTCAACGAGAGGTCGTAATCACAGCCGCCAACAACCAGAACATGCGCACACGACGACAAGGAGTAGTGCAACTTCACGCCACCTTGAAAGTTGCTTCAAGCGACTCGAAACTGTTCTCCACAAGTCTTTTTAGTGAATCACAAAACGAAACAGAATCTCCCCCTAACAATAGAAAAGAGTGTTAGCTGCCCCCTCTAGGAGCACCACCACCAGCACCCGCCCCCCCTCTCATCCTCCTCGCTCATCCCCTCACTGTCCTCCTCATAAGCAAGTCGCCCCGGCATGCCCTTCATGCGGGTGGGCACGGCTCTCAGAAAGTGGCTACAGCGGAATGGGTTGCATTGATTGTGTTGAGGTACAATGTTAAGGAACATTAGGCTTAGGAGCCTAGGGTGAAAGCAAGATGACGAGAGAGAAGCCAAAAGAGGGGGTTGCACTATAGAATGCAATACCCTACAACTTATAGGAAACGAGGGAGGTGGTGAAGGGAGGTAGACCACCTAAGACAAGATAGGTGATACTACACTAACTAACTTGTTAGAGTGAGGATCTTGGACAGGATAGGAAGTGCTTTGGTAAAGTTGGTAGCGGAAGTCTTGTAAGAACTCAGATCATAGTGAATGTAAATGACCAAGTTGATTAAAAGTTAGAATACAAGGAATATAAATAGTCCTAGTCTAGCCATGTACTCTAAGGGGTACATTCCCTTATTATAACTGTTTTACAAGCATTTCTACAATGACCCTGACTGTTTTACTGCCTTTCTTGTTACCGAGTCGCTACATGTAACCTGTACGGTTACGCCTGTTGCCATTCCTTGATGGTAAGTCAAGCGTCGGTCCAGATGGTCAACAGTCGCGACAGTTGACTCTTGCGACTGTTGACCTTTCTGCCCTCGATACAGGCTGATCCGATACTACGCTTGTTGCTGCTTCGACAAAGTCAGGTGCGATACTGCTGCACCTACGGGAATGCGAAGTATGAATCTCTTCACAGTCCAACACTCCCATTCATTCCTGGAGGTGCGCCACGTGGCTTTTGCGAGTCACTCCGCACAGGTCCGAGCAGTACTGAAACTTCTGACGTGGCAGTTTCTTCGTGAGGAAATCGGTTGCCATTTCGCCAGATGGACAGTAGATGAGCTGGACCTTCCCTTTGCCGATTTCGTCCTTCACGAAGAAGTAACGCAGGGCGATGTGTTTCGTGCGGTTGACGAAGCCTGGTTTGTTTGCGATTTTAATCACGCTCTGGTTGTCGCACAGTAACTTGAAGGACCCGTTCATCGCCGTCTTCGTTTCCTGCAGAAGCTCCATGAGGTAGAGTCCTTCGCGAACTGCTGCGCTTGCTGCGATGAATTTTGCTTCTGCTGACGAGAGGGCGATGAACTCCTGTTTGTTGGAGTTCCAGGAGATGGTTCCTGCAGGCTCAAGTTTGAAAATGAACCCGTCGCTGGTGTAGAGAAGATCGTCGACGTAGGCGACGAGCAGGATGAAGTGGCCGGTACATCCCCTGATCGTGGGGAAGCTGCTGGAAACCGAGCTCGATGAGGACGCCGTGAAGATGCTGCTGCCACAGGCGAGGTGCCTGCTTGATGCCGTACAGGGACTTTTGCAGAAGACAAACTGCGTCGATGTCTTCTTCGAACGCGTATGGCTGCTCGACGTAGATGATAGCATCGACGATCGCGTAGAGGAACGCATTGGAGACGTCGATCTTGCGAAGCGGGCGCTGTTTCACGGCGGCGATGCAGAGGAGAATATCAGAAGAGTGAACAGGAATGAATGAACTATGAAAGAGTTGGGTACAAATATGAAACCCTAGAAGGGGCTATACCCCATATTGGCTACCCCACTAGAGCCTAAACATATATGGCATATATACAATTTGACACACCCCCATAGGCAAAGTGGGGGAGAACAAGGGGTCACAAGCCCAGTCAAGAAAAGCAAAGCAAGCTCAGGGTGGATCACAACGTCACCACACAATCTGAGCAGAAGCAAAGGGCCACAAGGCCAGTCCACATGCAGAGGTATATAAATGCAAAGGCAACAGCACAGTGATCACTACCTAACAAGTGCAGGTATACAATCTAGATCACAGTAGAGGCAAGGTCAAGAAGTAAGTAAGTGAGAAGACACAGGAACAAGGCCAAGTGCAGTCCAGAAGCGCTGATGGTCACGAGGCGGAAGTGCCTTGGTGAACACATCAGCAGTGTTAGCCTGAGAGGCCACGTAGGCAAGGCGAAGCTGACCACGCTGCTGCAGCTCCCTAGCAAGAGCGAAGGGCGATGTGCTTCGTTCTGTGCTCCAATCTCTGTTCGCGACACAAGGCAAGCATTGCCTTGTTATCGACGTACAGAACTGGAGAAGAACGAGGCGCCTCGCCCAGGTCGGTCAGCAGGTAGGTGAGCCAACGCAGCTCCTATGCAGCCATGGCCCCTGCGTAGATCTCAGCCTCACAACTGGAGCTGAGAACAGAAGAAGAGCGGGTAGACCGCCAAGAGACAGAACCGGAGCCAAGGCTGAAGGTGTAACCCTGTGACGACCGCTGCGTAGACAAGTCGTCAACCCAAGAAACGTCTGCGTGACCAGTGAGGACAACTGGACCCCGTCCTCCAAGCACGAGCCCCATGCGTGACGTACTCCACAAGTAACGCATCACCCTCTTAGCTGCCTTCCAGTGCTCTAAAAGGTGTCTCCCGGGCGCAACATAGCGTGCCAGGATGCTAAGAGGGTATGCAAGGTCAGGGCGAGTGCAGGTCATCAGGTACATGAGGTAGCCCACAAGCTCTGGATACGGGCCACTCGGCTCTACGGACTCATCCGAAGGCAGAGCTGAGAGCGAGTGACCAGTAGGCAGAGGAGTGGACTGTGGCGAGGAGAACTGGAAGTTGAAGCGCTGAAGGACCTGCTGCACCATGTGTGACTGGGTCAGAGTGATGGTGCGGCGTGCTCTGTCCCGAGTGATCTGCAAGCCAAGATAGCTGCGCAGCTCACCCAGGTCTGTGCACGTGTGTCTCTTCTGCAGCTCCGACTTCACTAGAGTTAGTGCCTCAGTGTCAGCAGTAGCAAAGACCAAGTCGTCGACGTACACGAGAATGTAGAACGGCGGCAGCGAAGTGTCGGTGCGTAGAAACACCGACGCGTCAGCAGTGGAAGGAGCAAACCCAAGAGTCGCAAGTGTAGTCCTCAGTGTGTTGTGCCAGTCACGAGGTGCCTGGCGGAGACCGTAGACTGGCCGCCGGAGGCTCCACTGGGTACCAGGGGGAAACGACCCAGTGAAGCCAGGTGGGCGGCGCAGCCAGATCTCCTCGTGCAGGCTGCCCTGCAAGAAAGCTGTGCTGAAGTCAAGGGAGTGAAGCTCATAGTCACGCTGAGCAGCGACTTGGAGTAGTACCCGAAGAGTGGTCATCTTTGGGGTGGGAGAGAAGGTCTGAAAGTAGTCAACCCCCTGTCGCTTACTGAAACCACGAGCCACGTAACGCGCCTTGAAGACAGGCAGAGAGCCCGGCGGCCGCTTCACCCTGAAGATCCACATGCCACTGACGATGTTCGCCCCAGGCGGGGGAACCTCGTCGACGTAGGTGCCTGTGGACTTCCAGGAAGCCATCTCTGCATCCATGGCTGCCTTCCACTGAGAGGAGTAGGGACCCTCAACTGCCTCTGTGTAAGAGCGCGGAGTCGGGATGTCAAGTGCATCCGGGTCTCCCTCAGGGGCAAGCAGCATGGACACGAGATGGGGTGAAGAAGCAGCCAAACACTGGAACTCCTCCTGCCTGTCCTCAAGGACGTCCGTGCCAAGGGCACACTCACCCCCGACAGACGGAGGACAGACAGACTCAGACTCAGCAACAAGCCTGGCAGCGTAGTCTAGACGACAACGAGCAACAAATTCTACAAGCTCGGCAACTAGCGCAGACGCAGCAGTAGACTCAAAGGAAGGGATCAGTGACAATAGAAGCCAAGAGACGCGTGACAGTGGGACTAGCAGCACGAAGGGAATCAGACTCTGGATCAGCAAGGGCAGGAAGAGAGGACTCAGGAGGAGACGGCAGAGGGACACGCTGCGGAGCAGTGGAAGGACGCAGAGACATCCGGTGCGTACCGGGGACAGGAGGAGAACGCTGACGCGAACCACGAGCACCAGTGCGAGCAACACGCACAGGCGACGCAGGACGAGACGCAGGCTCACGACGCTCAGTAAGACCTCCAGTCGGACCAGCGTAAGGAGACGGAGCAGGCAGTGGGGAGGTGGGCTGTAGCTCTGACGGCGACAGGACAGGCGGTGGACACTCTAAGGAAGGGGGAGGAGCAGGAGAAGGCGGGAGGCCAAGAACCTGCTCAAGGAGCGGAACGAAGTATGGCCGTGGCCGCTTAGCACCCCCAAGAGCCAACAGCAGCACCTCTAGCAGCTCCAGCAGCTCGAGCACCCCCAGCTCTACCGGCAGCTCCTGCAACACCTCCAGCAGTTCCAGTAGCTCCAGCACCCCCAGAGCCAGCAGAACCACCACCAGCAGATCCAGCAGCTCCACCAGCTCCAGTAGCACCCCCAGCAGCACCAACAGTAGCACCACCAGCTCCACCGGCAGCTCCAGCAGCACCTCCAGCAGCACCCCCAGAACTACCGGCCCCGGCAGCTCGAGTACCCCCGGTACGAGCACCTCCAGGGCCTGCGGTAGCACCAGTGTCTCCAGCACCAACTGCAGTACCGCCAACTCTAGGACGCCTCCGCAGTCGCTGACGAACCGCAAAGCACTCTCGCAGCTCCGCTGGTGTAAGGGGCCGGCGAGTAATCGGTCCAGCACCCTCAGGCTCAGCGCGCCCAGAGTCTGCACCCTCCAGGACCTCTCGCACCGGCAAAGCACCCTCAGGCTCCGCACTCTCCAGCACCTCACGCACCGGCTCAGCACCCCCAGGCTCCGCACCCTCCAGGACCTCACGCACCGGCTCAGCACCCTCAGGCACCTCACCCTCCAGCACCGCACGACGTGGCTCAGCACCTCCAGACGCAGCACCTCGAGCAGTACCACCCCCAGCAGCACCTGAGACGCTAGTGACCTCGACAGGCTCAGCTAAGGGGGGCGGGTCTACCTGAGACACACCTGAAGGAGCAGGACCCTAGGGAGGAAGGGGGTCTACCGGAGGGGGACCTGGAGCAAGGAAGAGAGGCGGGGGAGGGAGAGGAGCAGTGCGGTAGGGAAAGAGGCGGTAGAACGGGACTGACTCATCAAAAGTGACGTCCTGAGAAGACAGGACAGTGCGCGAGGCGGGGTGGTAAAACTGCCATCCAGGCGCGTCAGTCGGAAAGCCGAGGAAGACACAGGGAAGGGTGCGGGAGGAGAGCTTGTCCGCGGACGTATCGCGAACAAGAGCACGGGCACCCCAGACTCGGAACACCGACGCATCTCCAACCTCCCCCGTCCACCGCAGTGTGGGCGAAGTCTCCGGAACGGAGCCAGAGGTTGAGCTGCTGTGCGGCGTACCTGACCGCAAACGGCCACAGAAAATGGGGAGCCGCCGCATGGATGAAGGAGGCACGAGCGATCTCCATGACCAGGCCAATGCGGCGCTCAGCAACCCCATTTTGCTGCGGTGAGCCCGGAAGCGTGTAAGACTGGGTGATGCCCTCCTCCTGACACAAGCCACGCAAGAGGTCGGAGGCAAACTCTCCGCCCCTGTCAGAGTGCAGACGCAGAACAGGGAGGTCGGTCTGAAACCTCTTGCGCAGCTGAAGACGAACCGCTCAGATCCAAGGGATCAGGACAGCAGGGACCTCACCCTTGGTGCGCAAGGGGAAGACCGTGGTGTAGCGCGAGTAGTCATCAACGACCAGCAGGAAGTTCCGGGGAAGACCAGACACAAGGACGCGATGGTGCATGTCCCGAAGACTGGGCAGGGAGGGGTGGCCCAGACGGTGGTGCCAGAGAACGGTCTGGTGTGACAGGGAGCGACATGAGCAAGGGGAGTCTAGCTGACCTGACGCGGACACCTGACCGGCAACAGCGACCTGGGGAGACACAGTGGTCAGTGTGTAAAGGCTCGACCCTGGCGCACGCGTGAACGTGGCCAGGTGTCGCCCAGTCCTGGAGCACGTACAGATCGCCACACGCCGTCCTCCAGGGGTGAAGGTATCAACCCAGTGGTCCTGAAGGACAGCGTTGCTCACCAAGTTCGTAGAGAACGAGGGGAGGTGGAGACCTGACAGTGATCCAGACGGGACCGCTGGGCAAGGAAGCACAGTGGTAGACCGTGCAAGGACTGGACCCCCCGAGGGGTCAGCCAGGGAGACTGCAACAGGTGCAGGGAGTGGTGTGAGGGCTGTGCTGTCACGGAAGAAACACCTAGAAGCTCCTGAGTCAAGAGTGAAGGTGTGCAAGGCAATAGGAGGCGCGGTACCTGACAGCGCAGACTCACTCGCACCTAAGGCAGCAGACGTGGTACCTGAAAGCGCAGACTCGCAAGCACGAAGAGCTGCTGGCTCTATACCTAGATCAGGCGGCAGACACAGGTAGCAGTCACCCTCAGCACTAACAGACAATGCATACATGGCAGCAAGAATAGCATCATAGTCAAGAGCAAAGATGTCTACACCCTTCTTAAGCAGATTAAACCAGCGAGGGGTCTCAACCTCTGCACCCATCTCCTCACGCCAAGCGTCGTCAAGGCGGGAAAAGCAACGTTGCTGGGGGTGGGGCTTGCAACATGTCTGACCAGCACGCTCACTGGTGCGAATGACATACGGACAGCGAGTACCCCCAGACGTACCACTCTGAGCCAACCACTCACAAAGCTGCTGAGGCGTAAGGGACCGCTGCTGCTGCTATCGCGGCCGGTTGCCCCTGGCGGACCCCTCTGGGGGTCCTGTCCTTGCTAGCTTCTCCACTGTCTAACCGTGCCCGGCAGCCCCCTCTGGCACCCTGTCAGGTCTCTACCTCCCCTCGTTCTCTACGAACTTGGTGAGTGGAGCGGACCTACAGGATAGGGGGGTTGACCAGTTCACTCCTGCGAGTCAGCGGGTGACCCACTGCACGTGTGCTCGGACAGGCCGACACTTGGCCACGTTCACCCGTCGGCCAGGGTCGAGCCTGTACACCCTTACTACTGAGTCTCCTCCGGCTACTGAGTCTGGCCAGGTAGCTGCGTCGAGTCAGGTGTTTGCTGCAGCGTCCAGGTCTGGTCCTAAGTCTGCTCCCTGCTCGTGTCGTCTACTGTCCCACCAGACTCTCCTGTGGCACCACCGCCTTGGTCACCCCTCCCTACCTCGTCTCCGAGGCATGGCCTCCCGTGTCCTTGTCTCTGGTCTCCCTCGGTCTCTCCCTCCCCTACCTCCAAGGCTTGCCCCTACCTGCGTCCCCTGCGTCGAGGGGCGACAGCGCGCCGCCCCTCACTCCTCAGAGTTCCCTCCGACAGAGGCTCCGCTACAGACCCTCCACATGGACGTGTGGGGCCCCGCCCGCGTCCGTGGGCAGCGGCACGAGTGTTACTTCTTGCTGGTGGTTGATGACTACTCGCGTTACACCACAGTGTTCCCCTTGCGCAGCAAGGGTGATGTCACTGAGGTGTTGATCGACTGGATCCGCGCAGCTCGTCTCTAGCTCAGAGAGAGTTTCGGCTCGGACTTTCCTGTTCTGCGTCTGCACTCGGACATAGGCGGGGAGTTTTCCTCTGCCCGTCTGGGAGCCTTCTGTCGTGCACAGGGCATCCGCCAGACCTTCACGCTTCCAGCCTCCCCACAGCAAAATGGGATTGCTGAGCGCCGCATTGGCATGGTCATGGACGTCGCTCGTACGTCCATGATGCATGCGGCTGCCCCCCATTTTCTGTGGCCGTTTGCGGTTCAGTACGCCGCGCATCAGCTCAACCTTCAGCCCCGGGTCTCCTTGCCAGAGACCTCCCCCACCTTGCGGTGGACGGGGAAGGTTGGCGATGCGTCTGCGTTTTGGGTCTGGGGATCTCGGGCGTTTGTCCGCGACTTGTCTGCGGACAAGCTGTCCCCCCGTGCTGTTCCTTGCGTGTTCCTTGGCTTCCCCCCTGACGCGCCTGGTTGGCAGTTTTACCACCCCACCTCGCGCCGTGTTCTGTCCTCCTAGGACGTCACCTTTGACGAGTCAGTGCCTTACTACCATCTCTTCCCCTACCGCACTGCGCCCCTCCCCCCGCCGCCGCTCTTCCTTGCGCCAGGTCCTCCCCAGGTAGACCCCCTTCCCCCTCAGGGTCCTGCCCCGTCAGGTGTGTCCCAGGTAGATGCAGTCGAGCCTGTCGAGGTAGCTGTTGACTCTGGTGCTGCTAGAGGTGCTGAGCCTGCGGGTGCCGAGTCTGGAGATGCTGAGTCTGGGGGTGCTGAGACTGGGGGTGCTGAGTCTGGGGGTGCTGAGCCTGGGGGTGCTGGGTCTGGGGGTTCTGAGCCTGGGGGTGCGGAGCCTGGGGGTGCGGATCCTGGGGGCGCTGGGTCTGCTCGTGTGGCCGCCTGCGGTGCTTCGTTGAGGCGGGAGCCAGTCTCTTCACAGGAGCTGCGCGAGTGGTTTGCCCGCCGCTGGAGCCGTGCTGCTGGAGCTGGAGGTACTACTGTTGCTGCTAGTCCCGGAGGTGCTCGTCCTTGCGGTCCTGGAGCTACTGGGCCTGGGGGTGCTGGAGTTGGTCCTGCTGGAGCTGCTGGCGGTGCTGGTGCTGCAGGAGCTGGAGCTGCTGAGGGTGTTGGCGCTGGTGTTTCTGCTGGCCCGAGTGCGTCTGGGGGTGCTGGAGTTGGCGCTATTGGAGCTGGGGGTGCTGCTGGCGCTGGTGCTGCCGCTGGGGGTACTGGTGCTGTCCTTGCTGGTTCTGGAGGCGCTGCATGGCCGAGGCCGTACTTCGTTCCGCTCCTGGAGCACGTTCTTGGTCTCCTGCCCTCTACTGGTCCTGCTCCTCCCTTAGAGTGTCCACTAGCTGTCCAGTCGCAGTCACAGGTACAGCCCGCCTCCCCCCTACCTGCTCCTTCTCCCTACAGTGGTCCTACTGGAGGTCTTGCTGAGCGTCGTGAGCCTTCGTCTCGTCCTGCGTCGCCTGTTCGTGCTGCTCGCACTAGTGGTCGTACTGCGCGTCCGCGTCCTTCTGCGGTCCCAGGCACACACCAGATGGCGCTGCGTCCTTCCACTGCTCCTCTGCGTGTCCCGTTGCCGTCTCCTCCAGAGTCCTCTCTTCCTACTCTTGCTGACCCGGAGTCTGACTCTCTTCGTGCTGCCAGTCCTTCTGTCACGCGTCTCCTGGCTACTGTTGTCACTGACCCTTCCTTTGAGTCCACTGCTGCGTCTGCCCTAGTTGCTGAGCTTGTCGTTCAGCTTCTGGTTGTTGTTGTTGCCGTTCAGCTTCTAGCAGTCTTGAATCATGTGCCCAGTCTTCTTGCAGTACTTGCAGAAGAGTCTTTTCTTGTCCGGTGGCGCTTGAGCGTAAAAGGCAATCTTCTCCTTCTTGTTGCCTCGTTCGTTGTACAGGTCGATTTCCTTCTGCTCGGAGAGAAGCGTGGAGCAGAGGGCAGTTTCGCTGAGAGTGCCTTGTGTGCGAAGGAGGGACTTACATTGGCGCCATTCCGGGCTCAATCCAGCAAGGATGATGGTGACGAACATGTCGTCAGGGAAGTTGCCGCCGCTTTTCCTGAATTGATCTCTCAGGTTCCTGCAGCGGTTGATGTATGGTCCGGCCTTTTCGCCGGGAAACATCTTGACGTTGTTCAGCTGGTTGAGCAGGCGACTGAGTGTCACCGAATCTGTTGCCATGTGGCAGGTGCGCAGGTGTTCCCAGGACTGTTGCGCGGGCGCCCATTCGTTTTTGAAGGGGCGAATGCTCAGCTGTTCTTCGGGCGACAAGTTCCGGATCAGGACGGTGAAGGCCAGGAGTGATTCGTTGTAGTATTGCGTCTTCTCCTGAGGTCAGCCGTTTGTTGGAAAGGGGTATGATCCGTCGTAGTACATCCAGATCTGAGCGCCCTGAGCGAGTAGTTCGAATTCGAAGCTCCACGTGTAGAAATCTTGTCCGTCGAAGGGCTTGGAAGTTCTGAGCTTCGACGTGGAGAGGAACTTGCTCTGCATTGAAGCCATTGCCTCGTAATGTGTTTGTTGTACTTGAGCAGATCCTTGAGCTCCGCGGTTGTCGAAGGTGAAGGATCGTTCAGATCCAGCTCCTTGAGGATCGGGAGGTCTTCGGGCGTAACTTGAGCCATCAATGCTCATGGGCTGGTGGCTCTCCAGTGCACTGATGCGGGAGATCAGCTGCTCGAGGAGCGCTGTGTCCACTGTCGTCGTAGTAGAGGCGACATTGGTGGAGGGTTGCACTGGGTTTTCCCCAGCCTCTCCGCAGTCTGCGCCTGGCATGTTGATGCCCTTGATGTCGTTAATGTTGAGGTTTAATTTATAAAGAAGCTTTGTCGGAAGCCCTTTTTAGCAGATCCTATAATCCAAACTAGCTCTCATACCATGTTAGAGTGAGGATCTTGGATAGGATAGGAAGTGCTTTGGTAGAGTTGGTAGCAGAAGTCTTGTAAGAACTCAAATCATAGTGAATGTAAATGACCAAGTTGATTAAAAGATAGAATACAAGGAATATAAATAGTCCTAGTCTAGCCATGTACTCTAAAGGGTACATTCCCTTATCATAACTGTTTTACAAGCATTTCTACAGTGACCCTGACTGTTGTAACCTGTACGGTTACGCCTGTTGCCATTCCTTGATGGTAAGTCAAGCGTCGGTCCAGATGGTCAACAGTCGCGACAGTTGACTTTTGCGACTGTTGACCTTCCTGCCCTCGATACGGGCTGATCCGATACTACGCTTGTTGCTGCTTCGACAAAGTCAGGTGCGATACTGTTGCACCTACGGGAATGCTAAGTATGAATCTCTTCACACTTCAAAGAGGGGGTTGCACTATAGAATGCAATACAACTTATAGGAAACGAGGGAGGTGGTGAAGGGAGGTAGACCACCTAAGACAAGATAGGTGATACTACACTAACTAACAAAACATGCAATTATATAAGAATATTACATTCTGACATCCCCCCTTAATTGCATGTCAGTGTAGCCAGTGAAGGGGCTTATCTCGAAGGGCAAGCAACACCGTGCTGCAGCTGGGCCCACGGCCGGGTACGGTGGAATGCCCGCCTGCGGTTTAACCCCCGCTGTGGATGCCCGGTGTGTGCGTGCGACGAGGAACGACGGCGCCCAGAAACGACGGATAGAGAATAGACAAGGAAACCAGAAAATGCGAACCTCTCTCTCTCTCTCTCTCTCTCTCTCTCTCTCTCTCTCTCTCTCTCTCTCTCTCTCTCTCTCTCTCTCTCTCTCTCTCTCTCTATCAAGCAGTCCTGCATTGATGTGTGTTTAGGGTACAGCCAAGACAACGGCAATCCTAACAAGCATATTGGCCTAGGCATGCAAGTTTATGATGAACAGAATCACAATCTGGGCCAAACTTGTTAGGCCGGCTTGCCACACTTCGCTACGTAGTCACACCACCTGTCCCTACTGTTACATCTGTCAAACATACTTGTATGATTATAATTGGGTAGGCTCTAGTGGGGCTAGCCTTAGAGGGTACAAAAACAGCCTCGACACTCTAGTCTTGTACCCTAATCTCATCCTAGAAACACATTCCCTTTGCCTTAGTCTCAACATGGCATCTAGAGCACTAAGTCCCTAGGACCTAAGATTAGGGCCCACCTATTACTGAGTTACCTCACCTACAGCTGTGCCTATCTGCCTGCTTCGCCTGTTGTCGGTGTAGTAAATCCATTCGAGAGCCGGTCCACGTAACAGTGTCGCTGCGAGCCGAATCCTTGCTGCGTCGTGTTGCGGGGTCGAACAGCCAATGGCCTCGAAGTAAATTTCGAGGGTGGCCACGAATCGCCGGACGTCGGATCCCTTCGCGCTTGGATCGAACGCCTCCGGGAGCCTCGGTCGTACTGCTTCGAGGTTCGGCGACAGTGGTGCCATTGGTCCGTGAAATGTCGGTGTCGCCACTGCTGCTGGAGTTGTCGGTGCTGTAGTCGCTGTGGTCGCTGCTGCTGCTGCGGTGGCGAACCCTGGTTGGCTCGTCAGAAAAGCCTCGAGTCGACGAAGCGTCGCCTGCGTCTGCTCCATGTCGGTGCGGAGGCTCGCGATGTCGCTCGTAGTCGCGTAGTTGTCGCCTTGGCACTCCATTTGGTGATTTACAGGAAGATGCGCGACAAAAATAATCGAATTCTAGGTGCTGGTCGACTTACTGCGAGTCAAGTTGACTGTAGAATCGACGAGCGCGAATTCTGTAGGTTGCGTAAATCTCCCTTAGGCGAAATTCGCGTCCGATCTTGGCCGTTGAGGAGAAAATCGATCCGACGCTCCAAATTCCAACTTTTTTGAGCGAAATTCTCTGGGCCGTTGAGATGAAACTCGATCAAACGGTCGAAACTCCAACCTTTCCACCAGTAAATCTGAGGGGTGTTCGAAAACCGAATCGAGGGGGACTTAGAAAAATTGCGCGGAACTGGTTTTACATACCCGTATCGGCGCTTTCGTTGTCGCCCCCGCGGTTTTTAAAGGCCGGAACTAAGCGGTTGAAGACCTCGTGTGTAAACCCGCTCTGATTACCAAGTGTGAGGATCTGGGATCGAGCTCAGAAAAGATGATTCAAATTGAATTGAATGATCACCTGGGTACAACACGAGGCTATATATAGGCTCGACAGAAGGCCCCGTAACCAGGTGTTACGCGAAGGTTTCGCGGGTCGCGAAGCGTCCCGAACAGATCCTTACCGAATTCGGTAGAAGGCAATTCGGTGGCAACCGAAAAGCCAGAATTCGGTGCACGCAACCTAGCTCGGTGCTGTAACTATAATAAAATATAGGAAAGCACCTAGCCTAGGAAATCAAGCAATTCATGCATGCATATGATTATCCTATGCTAGAAATAGCATGATAAAGTAAAGGCAAGCAAGCATAGCTGGCATAAGCCGTCGTACTCTCACACGTCCCCCCCTCAAAGCTGGGTGGCGTGAGATACACCCTGCTTGACAAGATAGTCCTTGAGAGCACGGCGTGCGTTGCCCATATCAGCTTCTGCAACCCAACTGTCCTTAGTGGGGTCGTATCCCTTCCAGCGTATCAGGAACTCGAGGGTCTTGCCACCGCGGCGCCTATGAGTGAGAACGCGCTGGATCTCGTACTCGGGTTCATCCTGTATGAGAACAGGTGGTGGTGGCGGTAGTTGCCGTCCCTGGAACTGTTGGTTGGGGTCCTTGTAGGGCTTCAGTTGCTGGACATGGAAAGCGTTGTGAAGCTTCCATGTATCTGGTAAGCGCAAGCGGAATGTAACTGGTGTCACCTGTGCCTCAACGAGAAAAAGACCACAGAAGCGAGGTCGGAGTTTGGATGGGAGGTGAGACAGGTTCAAGTTGCGTGTGTCAAGAAGCACCTGATCTCCGACTGCTACTGAGTGATCACGTCGCTGACGATCGGCATACTGCTTCTGGGAGGTCTGCATCGGGGTGAGACGTCCCTGAGTCTTCTCCCATAGCTGCTGCATGGTGGTGACGAAGTCATGTGCGGCTTGGACGTGTGCCGGTGTAGTTGGCTGCTGTGGTGTGAGTGGTTCCCGTCCGTAACATAGGAAGAAATGAGTTTTTCCTGTGGCCGCATGTGATGCGTTGTTGTAAGCGGACTCTAGGGCCGGTAACTGTGTGTCCCAGTGGCTGACGTCGTCCTTGCAAGCTGTGCGCAGTAATTGTTCAACCACTTGATTGAGTCGCTCTGTCTGTCCGTCAGTCTGGGGGTGGAATGCTGAAGACATTGCAAGCTTTGTCCCCAACAGTCCCATGAGCTCCTTCCAGAACTTACTCGTGAATTTGGGGTCTCTGTCTGAGATGAGTGTAGCGGGGATGCCGTGGATGGTGATGATGCAGTCGAAGAAGAGTCGAGCAGTTGCTTCAGCTGTAGCTGTGGCATTGGTCGGTATGAAGTGACCCATGTTGGAGAACTTATTGATCACCACGAGGATGGAATCATGTCCCCGTGAGGTCGAAGGAAGTCCTGTGATGAAGTCGAGGCTAACGACCTGCCATGGCTGCTCCGGTACGGGTAGAGGCTGAAGTAACCCTGCTTTTTTCTGCTTGCTGCTCTTCATCCGCTGGCACGTGTCGCAAGAGGTGACAAACTGCTGCACGTCTGCTGCCATCCCGGGCCAGTAGTAATACTTCGCTATCCCTGCTAACGTCTTGTTGCTCCCGAAATGTCCCGCGTAAGGTACGTCGTGAAACTCCTCCAATAGGATCTGCCGTAGCGGGGCGTAATTCG